CTTCTATCAATGATATACAATGTGATCGAAAAGGTACCAACTCGAGTTAACACTCAGACCCCTTTTAGAAATTTTTAAACGGCTAAAAACTTGCACGGATCCGCCTTTTCTTTACATGCGACCGGCGGAACCATGAAGTTTTTGAGCTGCAAACAGTACCGCAATCTGTAAGAGAATTTGTGCGTTCCCTCCAAACGTGGCGTTTATCTTGTGTGGACCGTGCAAAGAGCATTCTGAAAAAGAAGTGAGCAGGAAAAACAATGAGGGGAAGGGGTACGGAGTGAGAGTCGTAAAAACTCCTTTAATGGTGCTTTTCAACAAAAGCTCCTTCCGCATCCTTCCGGTATACCAGATTCTGGTAAACGCTATGAATGGTTTATTTTGACAGCTCTTGTCAGCATTCGAAGGTCTATTACCTTATGGAAATGCGAAGTGACAGCGATGAGATCATCAGTTAGAAGGCTTACTTTCAAAAAAGTACTTCGTCCGCTGGCTCTCTTGGCCGCTTTGCGGCCTAAAATGCCCGCTCCGCACACTGATTCAACTGCATGGACTATGTTTATTTTAATAAACAGTTGGTAATAAAAATTATTGCAAATTTTACAGCAAGCAATATCCACTGCCCGCAGTTAGCCCGCCGCTTCGAAACTCGCGAGGTTGATATATAGCAAGTCTAGCTAGCTCGCATGAGAGCGAAGTTAAGTGATTCATAAAGAGACAAAATAGATCTTTAATATTATCTACATTCACGGGACACCTCTTAATGAGGAGGGAATGAAGAAATGCCAGTTAATCACCAATTAAACTGCGATCAGGCGTTCTTCTAAAGCGAAATTCAACAAAAAGAAGTAATTGAAGAAGAAATAAGACTGGAGTAGGTCGCTGATAAGCTGGTTGGTTTGTTTTTTGTTTTTTATCTTATTGGTAATCAGGAGCCCATAGCTAGGCTCCTGGTAATAGTTCGTAATAGCCCAGGTTCCATAAAGAAAAATTCTAACATGAATCCGAGGCTTTCTGGTTACATTTCTATATTAGGTTTAGTTTTCTATGTGCTCGTGGAAAATTTGCAATTTTTGTCCGTATGTTAGATGTCGAACGCAGCTTCTAGTGCCAGTCCCTCAGTGAGTGCTGAATTTTCAAGATGGCGTCGCTTTGTTATTTTTTAGTTTCATCCTATCGTTCAGCACTTTTTACCCTTTGAACATGCAACCTAGGCAGTATTTCGAGCTTTTTGATATTTCTTCCAGCTGCTGAACATACTTTACAGCGAAATATGGAAGAAAATTCACGAAGAGGACTTAAAAAAACACGAAGGGATCGGCCTGTTTGCAAGAAAAAGCTTGGAAACTATAACTACAATGTTATAACTATATATAACTATTATAGTTATAACTATAACTATAATGTGAGTTTTCTTTAAAGAAGGACAAAGTTACCGGGTTTTACTAATAATCACAAAACCAATGTACCTACTATCATCTGACGTTAAACCGACAGTCTCATGTTCTGTCGTTTTAGTTGTGCGCTGTAGATCAATGCAAAAATGCCCGATTTTTTGCTCGTTTGCAGACACTGAGTTTAGGTCAGATAAAATAAGAAACTTTTAGTGTTGTCCGTGGCTGCTTAACAATTCTTATGGTTTTAGAAAGTAGTTCTGTGATGTATTGTATCGCGTGCAAAAAATAAACTTCGCTCGTTAAATTTTGAGGGTCCTGTGAGTTTCAGAAAATGGTGAGAATTTGCTTATAATAATGGCGTCCGAGGGGGTCGAATAAAGTGATGCTCGTATCTCTAATACAGGAGCAGTGAAGAACCTATGTTTGGTATATTTGTCCATTACTCCACCAGACCTATCTGTGATGTTAGTATGAACTTATTCTGTTGACCTCCTTCCGTTGACATTTTTAACATTTTGCCCGGTTTTCTCTGACAACCACTCTTAAGTTATAAGTTTTTTAATGGGAGCTTCGCTTTTTGCCGTGGCTAAATCTATAAGTGATCAAAAATGTATTTATTATGAAAACTCTGACGGATTTGCGTAAAACGGTGGAAACCGGTGTGGATCCGCGCCTGCTCATTCAACATATTTACTTTGACTCCTCCTATATTGTCAGCTTCATCCTTTTCAACTCTTCCATGATTTCTCCACTTTCACCCTATGACTTATCACTTAAAAAAATAGATGGCTTAAAAGTGTAATTATAGAAATCGCCCGGTTTGGATTTTAGGTGATCTGCCTTAGTCTGCCAGTATTGTCTTAAAGCCTTGCGTCTTAATTTCGTCGCCTCATTACGCCATTTTCTCTTAATTAGCTCCTAATTTCCATCCGAGCTGTTTTTGGCAAACTGTTTGGAGTATTTTCCTTTTTCCTAATAGCTCTTTTCCATTCTTTTGTCATGTACGCCACATCAGCCTGTCTATACCTCATTCTCGCTTTTAGCATGTGTGTCTCTACCACATAATTGAATAGATATAGTGATTGCCAGTAATTACATTTTTTTTCAAGCCTATTAAAGATATCCATTACTCGCCAAGGTGGAGTGATGAGCTCCTCGTTAAATTTATCATTATCCAGGGCCTTTGTAGTTCGAATGTACCCGACTTTATAGCGATATTGGGATATCTTATAATTAGTCCATAAGTCAGATAGTGATCGCTTATTTCAGGATTAATCACTCCAATCTTTTTAAAAAGTTCTGAAGTCTGGGAGTCTGAAATTTAGCTTAGTTCTGGTATTATAATCATGTTGTTCTTGTTGTGTTATGACGTTCATATCATACTTTCCAAGTCCATTTAAACACTTATACACATAAATACATCTGCTCTGAAAACGCCTTTTTTTCTAATGGAACCCACTTAAAGAGTGGCGAGCGCATACGTAGCAGATGAATAAAGAGGTCTGTCTTAACTGGGCATTAAGGTTACATAATGCTTGTCTCCCTAAATAAATCAGGTCTGCCAAATCAAATAAAGGCATGACAAGACTATTACAAAAAAAGAAGGCTTGCACTGAAATGTAATAAATGCTTAATGCGATTAAGGAGACCAATCCTTGTTTGATCAATTTTGCCAGCAATGCCTTGTTCAACATGATTTTTCCATGTAAAATCAGATGATATAAAAATTCCAAGGCATTTAAAGCTGTTGACATTATTTACGTTGTGGTCGAAGATTGATACTGTTAGAGCCACTTTGCTCTCCAATTTCCTATCATTACCTATAAGCATACATTTGTTTTTTTCGAGATCCAAAGTTAGCTTTTGATGGTGACGTGATCGTTTAGCCATTTCGCTACCGTCAGCAAGTTGCTATTTAGCTTCCACTTAGCTCCTGAAAAGATGAGCCATAACATTACATCACGGTGTCGTCTGCATAGAGGGACGTACAGCAGCATTCCAGAATGCTTGGCAGATCATTGATATCGATAACGAACAACACAACAAGAGGCCTAATATGCTACCCCGAGGCACCCCTTGAATTACTGGCAAATCGTTAGACTTCTCATTCGGACAAGATGTACCCTGTTTTCGGTCAGCGATATAGAAACGAAACCATTGAAGCGAATTTCCAGACAAACCATACGCCGATGGCTTAGATTATAAGACCTGATGATCTGATGTTAGGTCAAACAACACGGCTACCCATAGTCTATTCTCTATCCTATTTCATGTTCAAAAGGAATTCGTCGGCAAAGGATGTCAGAGCAGATATAGTAGGAATCTAAAATGCTTTCTTGGGAATCTCTCGGAATCTAAAATGCTTTCTTGGGAGGAGCTTACTGCTAACCATTAACTGGCATAACCGTGTACATACAGCTTTCTCGAGGATCTTGCATAGTGTAGTCAGAATAGAGATAGGGCGGTAGCTTGATACATTTTTTCGGTCCCCTGACTTAAGTGTTATTGTCAGAGAAAACCGGGCAGGAGCAAAATATCGAAGTCAGCGTTTGACCTCCACCTTTTTACCATAGAAAAGCCACCTGTAAAGATTATCAACGGTCGTTTTTCCAGAAGTTGGTGGGTTCTTTATTTGAAGATGAAAATTTTCTTGAAACCATGGCCACCTTTTGTTGAACCTTTATGAAATAACATGAAGCGAAAAAAAATTGCCTTTCTTTTTTGACATCTTTAACCTTTAATAAACCGACTGAAATATAGTTTTCAATATTTGTGCCAGCTCCATGTCTTTCATGTCGCACTTGATATTACCGCCAAATCCTTAATGAACCAGACCCAGATTTCTGCTATTTTTACACTGTTATTTTCCCAAAAGTGCGCGGTTTATTTTTAAAGAAAGTTACTTTTCTTGATAGCCCATTAACGCTTTACTAAAATGCAGCAAACTTAAAAATGGTATCTCTCAGTAACTCGGAATTACTGACTTGGAAACTTCCGCTAAAATAGAGTGAAGCGAAAAAATTCCCGCCAAATTTTCACCAACGAATTTGTTTCCATCAATTTATCTCGGAATTGAGCTCACCCATCCTCAGCAAGGCCTTCAAGAAGGTGATCAGGTTGAATCTCTTTAACTTGCTAGTGGCTATTAGATTGTAATTTTGATAAAGTCCGTATTTAATTCAATAAAATCAGATATCAACTAGTGGAATGAAATTGGCCCAATTTTCCCGCGAAATCTTTTTTTTCTTCTCACGCTTCATCGAGCCGCTGTGAATTTACTCGACGTTACTTTGTCTATCTTTGCTGAACAGTACAATTAGTAAAATGATAAGAAGAAAATGTAAAATTTGTGTTTAATTACTGATGTCTACGGAAAAACTGTTGTTTACATAATACCGTGATAAGATCAGTGTGTTTTAACCTGCATGTAGGATTGATTTAATTTGTCATTTAAGCCTTCCGACGAAAAACTGTCTGCGTTGCTGGATAATGGTTAGCTTAAATCTATAATCATGAATTATTCGTTTTCAACGGAAGAATCGTCGTGTTCTGAGAGTCGAGTTGGATCTGCTATTCGGCGTCCACTTGGCGTGCAAACAAGATATGACTTTGCTCCTTGTCAGTCTTGGAATAAGTGGAAAGCGTGGTCAAGGAGAGTCAGAAGTCAGCGAATCAGAACGGATTCTTAACCGGGCGGGACGTATTGGTATTTTAAGAGAAGAAGAAAACGAGGCTCTAACCATTTGCCCAAAACATAGAAAACACTTAACTACCGACTAGCCTGACCGTAAGAATTACATTTGCTGTTACCCGGCTCATCAAGGGTCGAAGAGGTGACTTAGTCTCCCTAGACGTGTTAATGCAAAATCGTGTGCAGAAATATTTGTTGAGTTCGAGGAGATTGTTCCTATCGGGGCAGGCGTAGGTGGGTAAAGATTTCTCTTACATTTAGTCAATTCTTGCATACACACGTGCTATTTAGGTTATGGGACGTCTGATAGGTGCGGTTCATACATACATACATACATACTTTATTGGCTCGTCCCCACGGGGCTTTTCAGAGTCAATTTTACATTACAAAATTATAAACCAAGTACATGACAATAAGAATATAACAATGATAAAAGAAGACAAAGGTCAATAAAATTAATTAAATTAATTAAATAAAGCAGTCATTAAGAAGCTTTTGCCTGAGTAAACACTTGAATTCCGTCACGGATGGGCTAAGTTTGAGCGCAGGCTGCAACTCATTCCAGAGAGAGGTTGCTCTATATTGAAAGGTCCTTTGGCCGCTGGCAGTGCGGAAGAGTGGTATGTTCAAAAGTTGAGAATTTCTCGTATTCCTTGTCGAGACGGCGGATCTTCCAACGAGCTTTGATGTCAAATACTCCGGAGCACAACTCGTCATGCACTTAAAAACCAGAACAGCAAAACGAAAATAAAGTTGTTGCCTGATTGGTAGCCAGCGCAAGTCTTTTAGCAAAGGAGTTATGTGATCGAATTTTTTAGCGCCGCTCAAAATACGACAAGCGAAATTCTGTACTGCTTGGAGCTTGTCCAGATTAGTTTGAGTAGTATTGCTCCAAACAGAAGAGCAATAGAATAATTTACTAAAAACTAAGGCATTTATAATAATAATTAGCGCGTGTTTATTAAAAATATGCTTAACGCGGTTAATTTGACCCAAACGTGACATGCATGAGGATACAGTAGAAACAATATGCTCATTATATGTTAAGTTAGAGTCCAGTGTGACACCAAGGTCTCTTGCAGCCTTAACGGGCTCGAGTTCCTTCCCCAATAGAAATAGCCTAAAGTCGCTAACCTTAGCAGTCATTTGCCGGCTGCCGAATATCACTAGTTTTGTTTTATCTGGGTTGAGTAAAAGCTGATTATCAAAGCACCAATTCCTAATGCTTAACAAGTCCTTGTTCATTTTTTCTATCGTTTCGTGCTGATCGCGGAGTTGAAATGACATGAGAAGTTTGGTATCGTCGACGTAACACTGCGATGTACAATTTTCTGGCACAGAAGGGAGATCATTAACGTAGATGTTAAAGAGTAATGGGCCAAGGATGCTCCCTTGTGGAACGCCAGAACTAACAGGTAGTTTGGTCGACAGAGTTGTATTTATTCGCACAAATTGGTATCGCGAGGTTAAATAGCTTCCGAGCCATTTTATCGCAGGTCTGGACGCACCAATGTCCTGTAACTTAGCGAGGAGTATTTGATGGTCAATACTGTCGAAAGCTTTGCTTAGATCAAGGAGGACAACTGCAGTCAGTTTCTTTTTGTCAATGGCATTTAGGATTTCGTCAGTTGTTTGAATGACAGATGTTTCCGTTGAATGCCACTGTTTATTTCCGCTTTGTTTGGATGATAAACGGCCTCTCGAAAGTAGATATGACGTAAGTTGATTGTAAGCGACACGTTCACAGACTTTAGAAAGGACAGGGAGTAATGAAATCGGTCTACTATTGTTTGGAATATCGTGGTCTCCAGCCTTGAGTATCGGTGTCACTTCAGCTGTTTTCCAGGCCAAAGGGAAGGTGTCAAACTCAAAGGTAGCATTAATAATAGACGTTAATGATGGCAAGATAGCAGGCAAACAATCTTTGATCACATGGATTGGGATTTTATCAATCCCAGGGGCCTTACCACTGGCCATTGATGTGACAATTTTTTGTACCTGTTCGCACTTCACTGCGTTGAAGGTGAACTGCTCTGACAATGGGTAGATTTCATTGCACTGTTCATCCACGACCTCAGTTACAGTAGTTTTTAGAGGCATGTAATGTTGAACCATCATAAAAACATGGAATGACGATTCACTGATATTATACGAGGAAGAAAACGTGTATACCAATCGAATAAAAAATGCCAATACAAAAAAGCGAAGCTGATAACTTTCACGCTTATCAAAAACCAATCTTACTTTAAAGTTGTTTGCGCGTGCGCTATAAAGTCTGCAAATTATGCCTCATATAAAAATTGAACTAGTGAGAGTATTATCAGTTATATACAAAACGTTTTAAAAAACTTTATAGTAAACATGTATTATGTTAATATAAAAATTAATAAGAAAAATACTATTAGCTTAACAAAACGAATTGTGACCTTTTTGCATTGTTCATTTCCAGCAATAGTGTTTGGGAGGGAGGGGTACGGGTGTGGCACTTTGCGATGAGTGGGCTGCGATTCTGATTGTTTTCTGTCGTTGTTTACTCTTGATAGTAATCAGCACATTTTTTAGGCTAGAACACGATAAAAAAAAGCGAGAAAAGTGATTTTGATCTACATTTGGATGAAGGCATGGAACAGGTCAGGACTGGTACCACTTTTGGGGGCTAAAGTGACCTTTACATCTGGGCCAGATTAGACCATGTGAAGGGGCAATATGGAAAACACAAGTGTCAGTTTGGATTTTTAAGTGACCAAAACAGCCCCCTTAAAATTCGGCCCTCTTGCAAACTACCCCTCAAAAAGTAGCCCATTCAGCTCCAAATTAGGCCATTTCAGTTGTTGATGGGTCTTTTGCTTTTCCCTTAATTATTGACAAATAATGAAATCAAACTTAACTTAAAGCTTTCAAACATTTATTCAGTTCTAGACAAGTTACTGTACTCTTTTTTTAGCCAAAGCTAATGAAATATATCTGTTAACTATGTATCATAACAATGTGCATTCCAACATATGTAACATACACCGTCCAACCTAATAATCTTAGTTTGGAATTGGAAGAAACTGGGCAAGAGAGACACCTGAGTGCAATCCGACCAAACCCTTAAAGGCTGGTTTTCACTCGTGACAAATTGAGGGTCACAATCAGAGTCGTAAGAGCACCTATTACCTAGTGAAAATTAAAAATCAGAGTCGCAAAAGGAGTCATACTAGAAGCTTGATGGAATTGAAGTCATCAGAATTTTCTATTCTTCAGATTCTGCTTATGATGTAGAAAACCAGATTAAGCAGGAGTCAAAGGATAAACCAGTCACAATGCTTTTTCCCATGCTTTGTAATTGGTCTAGTTCTTCAGCTTCTGCTTTCATGCCACTTCAACAATGTCAACCTATTGTTTTCACTAGATCTAAAGTAAAGGAGTAGTAATTGGAGTAGTTATAATCTGTTTTAACTAGATCAATGGTTTGCGCCTTTGATCACAGTTGCGACTCTGTATCGATCGCCAGTAAACAAGCCTTTCATGACTTGGAAAATCTGTTTAACTAATAGTTTTTTTTACTGCATGGACATGATGTTTAAAAAAATCTTGTAAAATCTTGGAAAGGAGCTCAAAAGTGTAACTGCGTTTGATTTATTCACATTCTTTAGCGCAGATTTAATCCAGTTAGAAGCCAGCTGGAAACTGTACTCGACTTCTGATTGGTTAACGTCTGCATGAAAGCATGTGAGTTAATTAAAGGCAGGTCACTTTTCGGCTCCTTGCTGTAAAGAGTAAACATTCAGCAAGAACTCAGTCATTTGCAAAGTCATTAAAAAGGGAAGGAAACACTGACAAGTGTTTTGCCCAAGTCCACTTTCAAGCAATGCCTGATCTAGAAAAGCCAAGATGGCTTTGCACTGGGTGTATGATACATTATATGCATAAAAACACGCATTGAAAGCAATACTATCACTGTGTCAAAACTCTTGTTCTGCGGGAGGTGGCAAATAATGCCTCCCTCGGTTACAACAAAATCCTGAATCTGCATCCCTCTGCAATAAGAACAACTGTTGAAATTTTAGAAATTGTTATAACAATAATTAAAACACATCAAACAGTGCCCACACATAAAAAGTCAGTATGGTCATCAGTCCTGTGTCCTCTTAACCAATACTATTGTCAAAATAATGTTGGTTTGATTTTTTTTTTCCAGTTTACAGGCATGCATGTATGGTATACTGTATAAATTATGGTTTGTTGTAATATTGGTTACTTTATGTTATGTTACGGGAAAAATAATGATAGCACATAGGCCGGGATTATTATCTTTTTTTGGATGAATGCCCATTTTTTTTTTTCTTTTTTTTTTTAGCTGCCTTATCTAACAAAAATATTGTTTGGGGTGGAATTAACTCCTGCGTATCAGGTGATAAAAACTGTTCAAAACAGATCAACTGTGGCTCTACACGCTATCCCACTCCATGCCGCAACTGCTTCAAAATGTAATTAAAGGGGGCATGCCGGTTACTGAACCTCTGAAGACATTTACTCGACAGAGCAATAAACATCTTCTAGAAATTCCATGTAAAAATAAAGTCTGAATCAAAAGTTATAAAGTATTTTCACGTGACGTCACAAAGTTCAAAATTTTCCCGCAAAAACTCCCGCCGCCATGTTGGTGTCCCTTCGCGGCTTATAAATCTCTTGTGATCTACGGTCATTTACATTACAAAAGATGTCGCTCCCCAATTGTCTGAATATGCAAATACACTTAGTCCTCTTGTTAAGAAAAGGTACATGCAGAAAATAGCGTGCATTGGAGTCGATCCTTTTCTAATTTCATGCCAAAAATACGATGCCGAATGTCTTCCTCCCACCGAGTCGATTGACCTCGTTTCGTATCTTGTTCTTGAAACCAGTCACTACACTAAGGAACAATTTAAGGCCATTAAAAACCTTCAAGCATATAACCAGTTGGTCTCTGGATTTGTACAAAGTGTCCACGGACTTATCATTGCCGGTAAGCAGGTTGTTTTGGGAAAGGTTCGCCACTCTCAAAGATGAACGACTTAAGAGCGAATGTCTGTAAAAATCGAGCAAAATCGAAATTTCGCGGCCACAGTCAAAAAATCATTTTCGCTCATATCTTGTCCATAGATAGGCATAAGTAAGTCACTAAACGTGGTGTAGTTTGTTTTTCAAAAGGCCGCTTGGATTTGGAGAAAATCGACAAAATCAATTTTCGTGGTCGGCGACTTGAAAACAACCAAAATTTGAGGCAAAATGAGGCGGTCTCAAAATTTCGCTCGCACGCACACAGGAAGAAAGCGGGGTAAAATATTTCCCAATAAATCAATTTATAAAGGGTTCTTCTTCTGGTCTGGTAATGAATTCTCATCTTAACGATAATCTGGAAGATAAACAATGTTATTTTAGTTTGGGTTCTTTTTCGACTAAACGAAATTTAAATTTAGGCTGAAAGTTGCGTTTTATATTTTAGGCATGTGCTACACCTTGGTTTTGCCTGAAACTCAAGCCAGTTGTTATTTAAACATTGTGCTAAAACATATGTAAGAATTGGCCTGGGTAATTAAATTTGTACTTCACACGAACCTTCTGAAGTTGAATAAATTTTGCTTGAAATATGAGACTTTTCAAGAAAGTCGGTTGGTTGTTGCTCGACAAGTCACGATGGCTGGGCTCTCCAAACGAAACTTAACTCACAATCGCACTTGTATTAAAGACATTTGAACTGAAACGATAATTTTTGTTACCTCAAATGCATTTTCCCGTTCTTGTCAACTGGCATTGCGCCTTGTCCCATGCTAATCAACCGAAGATCCAAAAACTCGAGGAAACGTGGTGCGTGAAAATAACCTCAAACAGAACATGGCCTATCTTTTCCGCAGTCACACTTTTACATCCATTGCCATTTAAAAATTCTAGGTCTCACAAAAAGTGCGATTTTGATAGTGAAACTTTCGGGCTGCCGATTCCTCTTTGGTGATAAAAGTCTGGTCAAAAGTGTTGCGTGACAGTATTCACAGGCTTCCCAATCTAACCATTTGAGCGACGCCTTTTTTTAATGTTCTTGCCAGAAGTAGCATATTATGCTACTAACAATCCAAATCATGTTTTTTTTTTCTTTTTTTCCTAAGTTTTCTTAAAGTGTGCTTCCATACCATACTAAATAAGTCCAAAAACATCGTTTTTCACGTCAACTTTCCCCCGTTGCCTTGTATGTGCCTTTGATTGACTTCAGGCTTCAACCTCTAGCTATTTCAACGCGTTATTACCTATCAGGCGGCTGTCTTTCCTCTCATATATGCAAGTTCCATTTTTTTGGATAACAGTTTTCGTAAACTTTCTGCAATGATCTTTTAGTATATATATTTTTTCTAATCTGAACATGGTTATTCGATCGTCAAACTCTTGTTTCAGTCTGTTTATATACAGAGGAACCCCGCCTTGGGATTACCCCGTTTATACGATCACCTCTTGCCTCAGCTCACCTCCCATAGTCTTTCACCCGGACGTGAAAATCTCCGAGTCATTTTATCATTTTGAAGACCTCTTTAATGCGACCACCTCGGTATCACGACCAGGATTTTATGGCCCAACGCTGGTCGCATCAACGGGGTTCCACTGTATTGAAATCAATAATAATAATAATAATAATAATAATAATAATAATAATAATAATAATAATAATAATAATAATAATAATAATAATAATAATAATAATAATAATAATAATAATTAATAATTGAAATTAATGTAAAGAATTAAAATTTAGGCCCCGCTTATATGACGAAAATTTGTCTCGAGCAGAAGGGTCACCCGCCCATCCGAGCTTCCCTTAATAGGGAAAGGGCATGATCTCAGGCTAAGCTTCCCTGGAAGAGGCAACTTTTCACACATTTCCTTACTGAAAACATAGCGGACCGTTTAAATTACAAAACGTTTGCTCGGCTAGAAGGGTGACCCACTTTGTCCAGTCACCCTTTTGTAATGGTAGGGTCAGCCTCCTAGCCGAGCCAACGTTTCTCCGTAGGCACTTTACGCGCTTTCTATTGAATAAAAAAATTCCTGTTTGAAATTTCGGAAAAACCACGTGCCCAGTGGAAGGTACATTCCAGTTGCAAAGACCAAACCAAAGCCACCGCGAGTTTGGTTATCGTGCTTGTAAGCAGGATACAGATCATTGGTCCTAGGGAAAAAAAATTTGTCAAATGGAAGGAGACATTTCGGTCCGACCGTCTAGATCAAATCCGATCCGTATCGGTAAAGGGCTCGCATAGCCAAGGCGAGACAATTAGAGCATGCGCGAAGGCCGGTTGGGCCAATGTTTTTTTTTCGCTCGGCTAGGAGGGTGACTCTCCTACACGAGACAGGTTTCCTCCATATAAAGGGAATTAAAACTTTCGAATACAAAACTTGTAATAGAGAGGGAATCAGAAAAAATTTCAAAATTCACAAAAGAATAATATTCAAGCCCTTGTAATTTCGATCGAAAAGACTACTCAAGTTGCCCTGTGGATGACAGAACAGTTGTTATAATTATATGGCGCCGCAAAGAACTTAGTGATTTAGATAGCCTAAAAGGGTTTTCAATGTATTTAGGAGGAAACTGTCGTTGGGTGCCCCTGTCAACTATCGCCTAACGCTACCACTACTTTCTTTACCCACATAGTTTTTTTTTTCAGTTTTACTCTCGGTCATTTGCCATTTTCTGAGTGTGCGCTTTGGTACCAGTCTTGAGACTGAAACTTGGTGGCTCGTCAGAAATTCATGATCAGAACTCTTGAAAAGAAAGTCTCCGACCATAACTTTCTCTGGCAGTCATTAATGAAACGGATATTGAGGCTACATCCGCTTCTGGGTCCGTTCAATTCTCGTAAGTCCCGATAATTAACGGGCCCCTAAAGCTGTTGTTGTTTACATGCAAGATAGAAATTTCAATAGTTTTGCATCTAACATGATAAAACTATCAGTTAATGAAAAAATGAAGTATTTTGCTAGCCAGGACCCGCGCTCCTCACATTCCTTTTATATCGATTTAAATATTTGATATCGGGCCCGAAAAGTTATAGGGACTTTGGACAAACGGGCCCCAGGGACCCGTTTCTCGAAAGTCCCAATAATTAACGTGCCCGGTAAGCTGTCTCCGTTTACATTAAAGATCGAGGTTTTAATAGTTTTGCATCTAACATGATAAAACTATCAGTTAATGAAACAAAATGGAGTAGTTTGCTAGCCAGGAGCAGCGCTCTTATTCTTTATATTTCGATTTGAATATTTGATTTCGGGCCCAAAAAGTTACCGGGACTTTCGAGAAACGGGCCCCTGTGGTCCGTTGCCAAAGGCCGCAAGACAGAATTTACTGGAAAAGTAAACTTAATGCTTTTGCCTTAACAGTGTCCTTTTATCGTGAATTTGAAGACGTCAGGGCCTAAGCCACTGGTAAACACGTTTCATTCCAGTTTTTTAACTTGCTGTATCTGCGGTATATCTTCTTAGTGTCGGATTTTAAAGCTTGTTTGAGTAGCCGAGCATGCTGTAAGGAGGAAATTGTGTGATATACTTTGACATATCTTTTGGTAAAGGAATCAGAGACGAACAGGTCAGCGTTCTAGACCCCAGGTTTCTTTCATTGTATATATTCGATACTAGAAACTGAAACTCATGCCTTAAGTCTTCACACTTAAGGAGAGGTTTGTAGACTTGAAAATAGCGCTACGTCAACTACCACTCCACAAGGACGCCCTGCCTGGGTCGCGTTTCCCCAATTACTTTGCAATATTTTCTTAGTTGCGTGTGCTAATGTAAGTTTTTAATGCTGGTTAGCCTGTGCAAGCATTTGAAAAGGGGGAGACAGTGTTTAGAGCGAATTGCTTACCTAACATCCTTGAGAAAGAGTTACAGCTTAACCCTTTCTACGGATTCTCCTATCCCCTCAACGGCCTTTCCATCGGAGTCTTACTAGGTAGTACCCAAGTAAGATTCAGAGCCACCCTTCCCCCAAATATACATATGAAATAACGTGATTTTTTTATTGATTCTTCACTCAAAACAAAAAACGCTTCCGAGATCATTTATCCAGGTTGT